GGAAGGCCAAAAAGGAAGATAACCATGGCCATGTGGCCATGCACACACGACATTGGCGTCAACAACAACAACAACAACAGCAACGACAATGATAACAACCTGGGGCAGGCAGTCAACAATGGCGCGCAAATTTACGGCTCACCTACGCGACTAGAAGCAGCAAAAATGGCAACAATCTTTGAGGGTTTGAGGCTGGACAGCTGCCACACTCACACACACACACACACACATACATTCATATGTGCTTGTGTATGTGTGCGGCTTATTTAAGCTTGTTTTTATGCGCCATGGCCCAGGTTGCTGTTAATCCAATAAAATTGCGTAATTAAATTTGTGCTTCATTTGGCGTTTGTCATGAACAACGTTGTTGCTCCCCCTGTTGTTGTTGCTGTTGTTGTTGTTCGTTTTGTTTTTGCCACTGTTTGTTGTGGTGACAAATTTAAAACCTGTTGTCATTGCCACATTGAGGGTGGCAGCAGCGGCTAAGGCAACCCTTCCGTGCATCGCAAAAAAATCGCTGTACATGTCGTAATTTTTCAATTGTTGCATAATTGAAGGCAACGAGCACACACAGCACACTGCGTCGAGGACAATGCCTCACGTGTGGCAGGCGAAATAACAAAAAAAAACAAGTAAGAAAGCTCTAGTCGAGACTGCTCGACTACGAGATCCCCTGAACCCTTGGAGCAATAGATATTTCAATACTTTTTCGCGACTTTCAGCTTACACAAGAAACACGCACACACACACACACGTACGCAAAAGCAGGCATACATACACACACACGCATACAGACACACATACACACACACGCATACATACACAAACGCATACACACACACACATACACACACACATACACAAACACATACACACACAAGCAACCACGCATAAACACGCATGGGCTGCAGTGTGCGCTTACTATGAGAACTTAATTGTTTAATAACTTTTTTTATGGACGTACGATCTTCATGAAACTTTTAGATTATGATTATAACATGAATATGCATGTAATTGCCAAAGCACAAGTCTCTAGTATTTGAAATACGCTTTTAACAAAAGTGAGGGTGAGGGGGGAGAATTTAGAGGTGGGGGGTAAATTTTAACAAAAACCGAAATTGTATAAATTGCATATAAGCATACATTAAAAATTTGGAGACTCTAGCAATAAAGGTGTAGAAGATATAATTTTATAACTGGGTTTCGATAAGGTTTTTTTATCGATAAAAAAAGATCGAGATGAGTTATCGATTTTTAATGATAAACTTGATATGCGCGCTGTAATTACGGACATTTTAAAAAAAATTTGAAGTCTCTAGCTCTTATATCTTCTGAAATCGACGCGTTCATACATACGGACAGACGGACAGACGGCCAGACGGACAGACAGACGGACAGGGCCAAATCAACTCAGCTCGTCACCCTGATCAAGAATATATATACTTTGTGGGGTCTGCCACGCCTCCTTCTCCCTGTTACATACATTTCAACAAAACCATTATACCCTGATTTCCCATTGAAAATGGGTTCAGGGTATAAAAAGTGAAAATATTGGCAGCCAATGGCAAATTGTCGAAGCTGCCCCCAAAGCGGCTCACACAAATATCGAGGTGTGGCCATTGACTGCGTGTTGATGTGTGGTTATGTATGCCTTCCTTTTTTTGCTGCATTCTTTTTTGCCGCACACTAGGGAAATACATGTAATTGCGTGTGAGTGTGTGGGTGTGTGTGTGTGGAAAAACGATTTTTAATTGTTGAATGTTTTGCGTTTAACCGCAGCACTGAAATTATGCAGGCATTGTCTGATAAAGTTCGTATAGACGCAATTGTGAATTTGATAAGGCAGCGAGACGATTGACTGCGTCACACGTTGCACGCAATTTCCGCAGGAAGTGTGCGTGTGCGTGTGTGTGTGGGCGTGTCTGCGGCAAGCAACGAGCCAGATAACATGCACCCAGACGAACTGCAACTGCCGCCAAGCTGACTCAAGAGGCCGCCGACTTTGCAGCGCTGGCGAGATAAAAGTCTCTTCCAGTTCTTTTCCCTTTCGCTTGCATTCGCTGGCTTTCAACGTTGCAAGTTGCAACGTGCGGCAAACATGAAACAGGCAACTCAAGTGCGCAGCAATCTAAACGAGGCATAGTTTCAACTACTACGCCAAGCAGGCCTAGTGCCAACCAACGGCCAAGTGCCAAGCACTGCCCGTCACTTTTACGCCTTATCAGTCGCCGTTCCCGTCGTCCGATAGCTCTGGCCAGCCCCAACCCCTCTCCTACTCCCAGTCTTAGTCTCTGTCTCTGTCTCTGTGTCAGCTGTCCCCCATTGCCGGCTAGTAGCATTTGCGTGTGCTCTCGTTTCGCAGCTTCATTCAATCAGCGCGTCTGTTGGATGGAAAACCGCTACGAAATCTTTTCCTCATTTCATGAAATGTTCTCTGATAAGCGCAACTGCGTCAAACGAAAGCGTTGCTTGTGGCACGCATTTCTTTTGATTTCATTTTTTTAAAAGATACCCTGTAGAGAGTTGTGAAAAGGTTTAGTGAGATCTTCATAGTGAGAGCAATGGAAGGTAAAAGGTATTTGGATAGATTGATGAATATGAATATTAACTTGAAGCTTGCTTTCGAAATCTTTTTTAAACTTGCTATGCAGTGTAAATAGTTAAGTGTAATTTTCGTAAATTTAGCACACCTGGTTAAGTGGATTATCAAGATTCAGCAGTCAGTAAATGAAAGCAGACCTAGGATTGGAGGTCTGTTTTAATCTAACTTTGGCTATTTTATTAAAATAAATTTACATTGATAAATAGAATTAAGGAGTTTTGACCATCAATTCAGCTTTTTGAAGGGAGTTGATTGGGTTTGGGTACCCTTCAATACAGCATTGACCATCTTCGACGGACTCATCTGGCAACCCTACAATGTTGCCCTTACTGTATAGGCCCATGTTCCTTTCTTTTTTTTTCAATCAAAGAAAAACCCAGTTTTTTATGTAGACGATAATAATTATTTTATTTGGTTCAAGTAGTTTTGTTGACATCACGTTTTGAATATGATATATCTCAAATGGCCGCCTTGAGCCTGTGCAGCAAAATCTAGGGTTACCAAATGGCTCCATCGAATATGGACAGCCAGTAAAATCAATTTCTATATAGCTTCATATGTACATATGTATACGTTTATAAAAATATATATAAATATATAATTTATTCAACTAAATCCTTTTCTGCCTTGTTTAGCTATATTAACTGTAAACAAAATTTTGGCTTTAATAGAATATATTTACAGAGCATCTTCTAGTCAAAATGCCCAACATTGTCTTACATTCATCTCAATTTACTTTTTGTGAGTATTCAGTTTGGAACGATTAAAACGAATACGTATACTCGTATATCTACATATGTACTTGTATGATGAAATGTAATTTAGCACATTTTGGCGAAATGTGACAAAATTTGAGGAACTGTAAAAAGCTGTCGCCCGCTATGGAAATCGCTTTTGCTTTTTGCTTTGACTTTGGCTTTAATTAAAAAGTTGCGCTTTGTGCCCGGCGACAGGCCAAAACATTTTCATATATGTATGTATGTACATATATTCACATTTTGATGGCGCTGTGGCTGTGATTGCTTAAAGCTGCAACAGCGACAGCTGCTGCTGCTGCTGTTGTTGCTGTCGGTCAAGTAAATCGAAAAGCAAATGCACTGAGCAATATTAGTATGTGAAAGATATTAACAGCATACTTGGCATAACAATATGGCCATATAAGACGATATAGCCAGAGACACAACCGAAGCCAGAGCCAGAGCCAGAGCCAAAGGCAAAAGCAGCAACAGGAAACAATTTTTCATAGAATTCCAGTTTTTATTAGCCGCCCACTCTAAACAAATGAGCGGGCAACAACAACGATTCGCTTTATATGACTATGCAGCAGAGTCCTCTGCGGCATGCTTGCATTTTTGCTTAGCGACCGGCTTGGTCTGGCCAGGACTTAGACATGCCCTGGCATGTCTCATAAGACAATATAAAGTATGACAGCCATTTGGCAACACTTTGCGGGCCGTTAGCAGCGTCACCAAAATCCCCCCAGCTCCAGCTCCAGCTCCAGCTCCAGCTCCTCTCTTATGCCAAGAGCAGCCCGAACAGCCCGAGCTGCCCGAGCAGCCGAGGCCAAGACAACTTTTTAAATTGTTAATGCGAGCGCTCAGACAAAAGAGCTGTCATAATTCGCAGCAAAATATTGTCAAGCAACTTATGTGGAAGTACTTACATGATGCCAATTTACAACGCCTGGCCAAGACATTAGCCATTATGTGCCATCTCAGCCACTCTTGGCCCGCCTCTGCGCCGGAAGTGTGCGCCATTTTCTAATATCGCAACGGATGTAATTAATATGCGCAATGAATGTGCCAACAGCTCATCCACAATTGGCCCAATCCTAATGGCCATTACACTCGCAAAATGCGCGATAATTGCTAGAATCTATGTACTACATATATAGAAGCAGATGAAACATCGCAAAGAAAGCTTGTGAAAATGTAACAGGCGGAAGGAGGCGTGGCAGAACCCCCAAAAGTATATAAAGTATATATTCTTGATCAAGGCGAGTTGAGCTGAGTCGATTTGGCCCTGTCTGTCTGTATGTCTGTGTAGAAGAGCTGAAAGCTTAAAGTTTTTATATGTGTACTCGTATATTCAATATGGAGTACGACTTCAATATATTTTTTCGATATGTCATCTCTTTTCTTTTTTTATCGATAATAATCGATAATTTGATTTAGTATCGTAGAATGACAGTTCAGGGTTCAGGGGATCTCTTAGTCGAGCAGCCTCGATTACTATTACTTTTTTTCCTGCTATATATTTTATTTACTAAAGTTTAATTTTGTTAAATGAGAACCACTAAAAATCTTAATTTTTTATGAGATTTCTCCTTTATACTAGCTTTGCTGCTCATATCAAAATTCACAAAATATTTTCCATAGCAAGGAACAGAGGAGTGCTAGTATAGCCCGGCGCTAAGCGTCACATTGAATATTTTTTTAAGCATAGTATACCATTTGAATAAGCAGAATTTTTAAAATAAAAAATACATATTACGTTAAATTTAGTTTGTATATGAAGAACTTGTGTTATTTATAGAGTTTGTTGCTTTGGTTAATATTGCAGAATCATGGCCACTGCCATCCGAATGGACAGGGACGCACTTGTCAGATTCAGTGCGTCGTACATGTACTATGTTGAGAAGCACAAGCTGTTGGACATCATGAGCCGCATCCTGGCAGAGGCCACTGTGCAGCAGATTGAGGATGTGCGCCGTTGGCTGGGCGAGAACATACGGCATATTGCCCAAGAGATCTACTCGAAAGCCATGAATGCCTTTCATCTGGGCATCGATGCCGACTACTATCAGCTGCCCAAGAACTTCTATCATCGCATCGTGCTGCACGGACGCGTCGGCTCGGGCCGTCGCTCGCTGGCCCATGTGCTGGCCCAGCGCTGGAATCTGCTGATACTGGATGCCGACACGCTGGCCTATCATCATATCAATGGACAAGCGCGGGGCAGGAAGGTGCCGCTGCTGCACGAGGGCATCGAGAAGCGCTCGGTCTATAAGATATCGGAGGCCATTGGCAACATCATACAGAAGCGTCTGCTGCAGGAGGACGCACTGCATCGCGGCTGGATACTGATCAACTATCCCAACAATAGATGTGAGGCTCGCGAGCTCTTCGAGTCCTTCAGCGTGCCGCCGAATCGGCTCATTTTCCTGCAGGTCGACGAGCAGACGGCACGCATGCGCCTGCTGATGCGCAAGTACGCGCCCTGCCCGCAGGACAACATCACCTACATGGACTACCAGATGCAGCAGTTTCGCAAGAGCGAGCCCCTGCTCAACACCTATCTCAGTCATCGGCGCGAGGTGCTCTATGTGGATGCCACCGAGTGCTTCGAGACCGTCAAGTGCTTCATCATGTCACAGCTAACCAAGACGCCCTACATGCTCGGCTACAAGTACGGCGAGAGTAGTCCAATTGACTAAATTGTCCCCGGCTCCAATTACCAGCTCCACTTTCACATAAATTATTGAATCTGTATGCGAGCCACAACAATGTTGCCTCCACATAAAAAATAGAAGAGAACGGTATTCCATAATTTCCTATGTCAGTGCATTGTTTACTACTCGCTCAAGTGGATGCTGTGGTTTCTGCTGTTGTTGATGTTGCTTCTAGAGTCGGGGCGTAAAATGCTGTGCTTATCAGCTTTCTTTTGCCTCGACAACAATTCTCGAACAGCCCTCCGAAAAGCGCAAACATTTTTCGTTTAGGTAAACAACAAAAAACGAAACGAGACGAAAAGAAAGTGATTTGAAATTATTGCTATTTGAATTTTCCATCATGAAAAAGGAAAACACAACGCGGAAAAAAAAACTGTAGAAAAACAATAAAAAGAAAAACAAATGATTTTATGACCACAACTTAAGTGCTCAATTTTTAATTGTTTGACGACGCTGATAAGTAGCCGAGACAAAAATTGGACTGAATGAATGGAATGGCGAGACGGGGCTGGGTTTGGAGCGGGGGCTGGGGCTGGGGCTGGGGCTGGGCTGTTTTTATGGCACCCAAAAGTTCAATCAAAGTTTTTTACTCCCTGTTGACTTAACGCCGCCTGGCCGCAGGGCTCAGCAGTATTTCATTAGCCTCGCAGGTTGATGGCTATGACGCAATAGGCCATGGTTCACGGTCCAATTCCCACTCCACAGCTCATTCCCAATGCCCCAGCGTCCAATAGTCTAAATGAGACACTGCTCGAACATAATTAAAGCAAAAGCAAAGCACAAGAAGCAAACACTAAATTTATTAAGCAAAAACTGCGTTTTATTGCACCACCAATGCAGCTGAGCTTAGCGCACCACCTTGATGTCGATATTGAAGCAGCAGCGTTTGCTGCTCACCGGATCCTTGAGGGCCCAGCGTATGGTGTAGGTGCTCACTGGAAACTTGGACTCGATGGGCACTTCGATGGCGTAGGTTTGCTGAACGCCGGCCTTCACGGGGCAGCTGGTGGACTTGCAGGCATCCTGCTCCAGGGTGACCAGGGGCAGCAGCTCCGTTTCGCTCTTCACCCAGTTGAGCGAGGCGTCCAGTTTCTCGGCGTCGAACTTTGGCGTAAACTTGAAGGTCATATCGGCCGGACGACGGCGGCGTATGCGACAGGCCATATTTTCCAGAGCTTGTGGGCACGGATCCACACGGACCTCATCAATCGAGCACTGCTCCTCGGTTCCCGCGCAGGTGTGATAGTTAATTACCTCTGCATTGGCCAGTGCGACCAGCAGCAGCAACAGCAGCGACAGCGACATCGCAGCGGTGTTCGACATGGTGCCTTGATCGTTGGGAATGGAATGCGCTGTCCGACTGATCTCACAACAGATCTCACAACAGGCTGCCAGCAGCGCCTTATCGCCCGGTCAAAGGTGAACTGAACGCAGCGTCACTGATAACAGTCAGACTCACGGCCCGTGAACAGATAATGCCTGACGCAGATAACAACTACGAACTACTCACTCCTAGGCTTACGTCGCCCACAATGCGGCTCAGCTCGAAGGTAACTAAACTAATTGCCGCAACAACAGCTAGTCATTCGAATGCACGAGCACAATATGTAGTATAGACAAGTGTTTCTCAGCTTCACACTAGTCATCAGGGCTGTGAAGCGTGTGTATATGAGCTACTTTTTCAAGTGAGTGAGTTATAAAAGGCTACTTTTATTTTGTAAGATTATATTCCTTGAATATGAGTATGGTATATAAGGTGTAGCAGATATATTCCTCTATATATGCATGAATATAGTTCTTTATATAGTAAAATCTAGCTATAACGAGGCTCAAGGCAAGTTATAAAAGATTGTCTAGGGACCAGATTTTTCGTCGTAATAAGCGTACGGACGCTATAAACGGAATCTTTATAAGCGGATTCTACTGTATATATTTTTATATGTATTTGTATATGTATGAATACACTTATAACAGCTTTTAACCTATATATGTAGAGCTATTATATATTCAGCTATATATAGAACTATTATATATTCAGATATGTCTATGTATATATCATTTTTATTTGTATAGATAAAAACACCTTTGCGATTCTCATGACGGCTAAATATCAATTGTTCTTTTAGCCTTTTACATTATCAAGGCATTCATATATATCGACATATGTCTTTATATAACAGCAATTTCTAAAATTATTTCTAGAACAAAACTTTTATTAGAGGCCCTAATTTTGCTACACAGTGTTTGCAATCGCTGTCAGTGCTCCAAAAGGCACGTATATCGACACGCTTATCAAGTTGACTAGTTACTGGGGCACTGTACAGCTGCTTGAACAGACACAGAGGCTTACAGTTAGACATAGAGACAGACAGATAGCCAGACAGACGGACAGTCGGAGAGATGGACAGACAGAGCAGCAGATAGACGAATTCTTGTCAGTCACAAGCTGTGCGCACGTCGGAAATTTGAGACGATTCCCGCGAGAGAAGTGCACTTCAGTCTTGAATGCAGCGACTGTGTGCAGCGCAGTTCGAAGCTGTCAATATGCCAGGCCACGACGACAATTGCACGGCTCATTTGCGGGCACATATGTCAACGGCAATGGCAACAGCAACAGCAACAGCAAGAGCAACAGCAAGAGCAACAATAATTCTAACAAATTTGTGGACAAAGGGAAAAATGTGACAACACGAATATAAAGCAGTCAAAAGGCAACAACACAAAGAAGACCCCGACACGCTTTAACAACACTTACGCCTCACGACGCGTCGCAATTTGATGCCATATTTTGATCATGCCCAAAGGAGCCAATTAAATGAGCAACTAAATATATCAGCTACATTTTCGGATGCAAAACATGTTTTTTAGCGCTCAAATGCAAACAAGTTTTTGCCCCAAAAAATAAAGCCAAATAAAAATTGATAGAAAAGTTTTGCGGCCAGCGCATAATTAAGAGACGTTCAGTCAAACTTTGATGGAAACACGTTTTCCGCTATCCTCAGCGCATTTCATTTCAGTTTTTCTTTTTTTTTTTTCGTGTTTGTGTTTTATTTTCTGTTAATATATTTTGCATAAATTATGAATGTTTTTTCTCTCTGTTTCCGCATCTCCCTTGGCCTTTTTATTGCCAGCGACTTTGCGCCTTTATCAAAGTCCACTGAACGGTGAATCAACAAAAAACCAAAAGCAAAACCAAAACAGAATTAATTCATTAAAGAAATATGCAAAGTATTATAAAAAAAATTACCAACATCTTGCCTGATGGGGTGCCAGAGTACAGAATAAAAAAAAATAAAATAAAAAAATGGAAAAAAATGAAATTTATGTTTTATTACTTAATGAACTTACCGCAAATTAAGCCAAGGGTGGCCGGAAAAAAAGAAGAAGAAATACAGCCAAGTCCGAGTTGGTCTCGCCTGCCCGTCTTCAATTAATATGCAAAAAATGTCAACAGCAACGGCTGCCAGCGAGAAAGTGAGTCCAGTCTGTCAGCTCAGTGTGATGAAAGCAAATTGGTTAGCAATTAAAGACAAGTTCTTTTAATTGAACACGTGATCAAGCAGCTGGCCAAGGCGTGAAAAAGGGTTAATCAAGTGTTGGGGATTAAGTGTCCTGCGTTTTTTTAATAAAACTCGAAGGCATGAAAACTTGAGCTGATTTGGATAGAATTCTAAGAAACTGAGAAACACTTTTAGAGCCATATCCTCTACAGCCAGATAAGATTAATCGAGAGATCTGCAAGTATATTATTAATACCATTCCCTTTGCTTCTAGTCAAAGTTAATGATAGAACAATGCAAAATTTAATATAAAGAAAATCAAAATAGAATCATAAGAAAGAAAATTAAATAATAAACCAATAAATAAAATTAAATAAAAATAAATATATATATTTATAAAAATATACATATAAATATAAATTAAATAAACAAAATTTAAATATAAATCAAAAATTAAATTAACATAAATAAAACCAATTTGCATATTATTAAATGATTTCTTAGCTTTTAATTTATCAAACATAACAAGAACTATACAGCATGAAACAATCTTTCAGATTACAAAATCTGAAATTGCATAACAGTTCAAATGTGATTCGCACTTTTAATGGGCGATATTAAAACAATATCGGGCGGGGGCACGAAAGTAATTTGAGGAGCATGAAAGCATTTGGAGAGCTGATGCCAAGAATTTGCCAAAGCAAATGCTGGCCATCATTTGCGGGCCAAATGTAGCTTGTGATTTGCGCAGATTTGGGCAATGCCGCTGGCACGCCCCCTGCCTTGCGTAGCATCAATGGGCAAGGGAACGGGGGTAGCGGAGGCGAAGGCGATGAACTTGTGCAAATCACCTCAAGCGTCATAAAAAGTCAAATGAAATAAAAGCAAAAGCCGCTCCAGCCAGCAGACAAAAACGAAAAAATAATGAGTACATTGAGATGGAGACGGGCCAGGCCATCCAAACGGTTGAGTACTACTGCGACGACACTCGTATCGTGAGGATTTTTATTTCTTGGAATAATCTGGGAGCGAGCACACGACTAATCTTCATTTAATTTCATTTGCGCCAGCAACTGAAATTGAAACCGAAATCGCAATCGCAGCTGGAACTGGAACTGGAGCTGGCGTTGGCTGCTGGAGTTGGACTTGGATGCTCGGGGTCGAGATACCTTGGACTGGCAAGGACAATGTAAGGACATTGCGAGCGCCCAGAGACAGTGCCAGCCAACTGCTTGCCAGGACAGGCAGGGCAGGGATTTGTAACATTTCATTGGCTGTGGCAGCGCTGGTGGCGTCAAGGAGATCAAAAGTATGCGACACCGTGGCTTAATTCGATTTTAACAATTGCATGGCTGCTCGCACAGCCAATGGCAAACGACCAGCCACGTCTCTCCACAGCCAGCGGACTCTAATTGAACGCCCAAGACGGCGACTCGAGCTCGAGCTGGAGCTGAAGCTGAAGCTGGTCCTGCTTGGCGCACATAAAACTAATCCGACGTGTGGCGCCGGCAACTTCGTCAGCGTCTTCAACAATTTGAATTTAAATGTCGTCTTGCTTTTTTTATTTCTATTTTTATATCTGCTGTTAAGCTAAATAC